GCGTAACAAAAAATGTTCCTTGACCTACCAATCCCAGTTAGAGTAAGATTCCTTTCCTTTGGCTCCCTTCTACCTGCTAGCTTTGAGTCTTTAAACCACATCTATATCTGGTCAGGGATGTAGCTCTGTGGTACTGCTCCTGCCTGGCAAGGGCAAGGTCTTGAGTCTGATCCCCAAGACTGGGGGGAAAAAAAAGGTAAAACCAAATCTCTGTCAAGCCTCTAGTGGTTCATCACCTATCAACAGATTTGAGATCCTGGCATGTAGCCACTGCAGTGTAGTCCAGTCCTAAATATCAACCCTGTAAGGTCAGTCAGCCAGACAAATAGCCAATTTATAGGTCATCAAGTACGGTTTTTGTATTTTATAAGAAAGGAAACTGAGGCACATAAATTAGTCAATTTGCCAGGTGTTAAATACAACCAGCTATCACACAGCTGCTAAGGAGCAAATGCAGGACTCCTACTCAGGTGCTCCTGTCTGTTTTATACCACTTATACTTTTTAAGAAGAGAGCATTAGGACAGGAACAGGAGCTTAGACTGGATAGAGTTTCTACTTCTATTCGGCTTAGGTAAGTATTGCCATGGGGGCTAAAAACAAGTTAGGGAGCTCCAAACCTTCCCTGAGAACTGGGATCTAGTCCCAAATTCCAGGACAAGGATGAATTCACCACTGCTTTCTAGTAGACAAATCCCTGCCAGGACAGACAGAAGCATTTCAGTGGGAGGCAGTAGAGAAAGAAGTGGTAACTTTGCAGGATTTGGTGGGCCTTGGGACTGAAGAGTTATTTACTAAGAAGGGAAAAGAAGACAGAAGTCAAAAAATACCTTCAACTCCCCTCCAACTTTGTTTAGAACCAAATAACCAAAACCTGAAGTCAGAGTTGTACTCTTGGCTCTTTCACTGTGTTGATCCAGTGTTATCTACTGAGTCATTGGCTTAAATGAGTCCCACACCCCCCACCCTCTCCCTTATATTTCTCCGAGAGGCAAAAGCATACTTATCTCTTATCAGCATGCAAGTGTAAATTCCCTATTATTGACCTAGGAAAGACTAGAATGCCCTTCTCTACCTTGTCTGCCTAGCAAAATCCTAATGTTTCTGATAGTGCCAAGCACAAATGTCACCTTCTCTGTGAAACTGTCCTGTCACCCTAACAAAATTTGTCACTGCTTCCAGGGTTCAGATGGGGGTGGGGTACACAGTACTAGGGATTGAACCCAGGGCCTTCACACTGAGCTACATCCCTGGCCCTTTATTTTTGAGTCAGAGAAGTCACTAGCATGGGCTTGCACATGTGATCCTCTTCCTGCTTCAGCCTCCCAAAGTGCTGGGATTCTAGGCTTGTGCCATCACACCCTGCTAAGACTAGTTCTATCACCCTTTACACGGAAGTTAGCTGTGTCCATGTGTTATGTTAAATTTTGACCTCAAAAAGTGGGACTATTTTTGATGTCATCATAAATCTTCAGAGCAGGGCACAATGCCTGGTCTTAAGTAGGTGTTCATTAAATGTTCCCTAAATTCACTAGGGCCAAAGTAAGCCTGCTTCCCTGCCTTAGTCAATGTCTCACTTCCTGTGCCATCTGGACAGATCTACTGAGATCCATTTGGGAATGTTTGTAACAGGCTTCAGAGAATCAATTCTTTCCCTGGGCCCTTTGTGGTCTCTCTTGGAAGGTCTGCTTGGGACCCAGCCCACAGAGAATTGTTGTAACTCACATGGGCTAACTGCTTTTCCTGTCACCCGTTATTATGCCTCAGATGGCCTAATCACACCACTTATTCGGACCTTCCATCCTAACTTGAAGACATGTTGCTAAAAACAACAAAGTTCTTTGAATTTTCAGTTTATGTCAATTAGTTTAAAAGCTCTTTATCATTATCTCACTATTAATTCCTGAATTTGAGAAAAAAGTTAAAAAAAAAAAAAATCATATCACCAGAGCCAGGAGACACTCTGAAAAGATACTTACTATCCCTAACCTGAAACTATAACCTGGCTCAGAAATTTGAACACTTTGCTTAGCTAGGTTGCTCCTTATTCAGTTCAGTTACTGTTCAATCAATAGTTAAAATCTTTTCTAAAACACTCTTAGGAATAGGAGTATAATGTGTAGGATTTTATGGTAGCCCTTCTGAAATAGGGCAGGTGCATTTCTTTAACTTGTCTTTTGCTTTGGTTATTTTCCAATCTGAATTGCTTTAGGATTAAGGACTGGGCTATGTACTTGCTTCTACTACCCTATGCCTCTCTCTCAGAATTCAAATTCATATTCATCAATGCAAATAAACAAGCAAACTACAGAAGAGCGATTCTTGGTTCTTGGCAAAGTAAGAGAAGATACATAAGCTATGATTTCAAAGGCAATGGAAGAACCCCCTTCTCCAAGTGCATTTTTGCAACTCCAGATCTATGTTTGAAATTCTATATTGGTAATTCCATTCATTAGCTCCTTCTTAAAATGCAAAGCCCTTGGAAAAATTAATATTTTAAGACCTGTACATTATTTACATCTTAAATTGGAACAATTCCAGCTCCTTTTCTTTTTGGATGCTGGGGATTCAATCTAGGGCCTCACAAATGCTTAAGCATGAGCTCTATCACTAAACTACACACTATTCCCTGAAAGTAAGTTTTGATTAAGAGAAAGACAAAAAAACACAAAGGGATATACAGAAGAAAAGGACAGGATAAAACCATGGTTTAGAAAATGGTAAAGACTAGTAAGGATAAATACACACACACACACACACACACACACACACAGACTTTCCTCTAGGACTGGCTTTGCAAGTGAGTCCTTGGGGGGCAACAATTAAGGTTTCTACTGGGCATGATACAAAGGTTGGGCATATTAGAAGGCTTCTAAAGTCAGTAAAGTCAAATTTAACTAATCAAGTAGTAGTATGAAATGTTGCAGTTGTAGTCTAACTCTGAGATTTAGAAGAAAACCAATTTCAAATCCAGAGAAACTTGAGAGCCTCTCAGGTCATTACAGAGACAGATATGAAGGTCTCTTAGGGAATCATCACTATCTTCTGAGATAAGGGACAGTCAAATATTGTGAACATGCAGGGACCATGAACCAGAAGAGAGGAGTTATCAAACTCCTTCGGAAGAGATGCCAATAATTGTCTCACACAAAACAATTCATACGTTTTTCTTCCTGCCCATAAAATTTTGTCTACCTATTTTGGCATTCCCTTTTTAAAATCTGGGCATTTTCTAGAGTACTCTGTGCATAACCGGTGTTTGTGTGTGTTGAAGAAGGCCAGTGATAACCCAGAACACAACCCTCTGCTTGTCTGAATTTGATAGAAGATAAAACTGAATGCGAAAAGAACACAATAAACAACAGAGTATCATCCTAGAAGGGACAATGTGGAATGAGGCCAGAATTTGGTGAGAATATTAAAACAGAATTGTCTTTGGTGGCACATCCCTCAAAACAAAGCTAAGTCTGATCTGTTGTCACTAATCTCTGACTTTCTTAAATAAAAGGTATGAGGTATGGTATGGAAGAGTTACATTTTTATATAGCTTATATATTTTAAAATATGTGCATATTACTTCTGTAAATAAGAAGTGTAATAATAAAACATACTGGTATAGAAGAGAAAAGGAGGAAAAACCCTAAGGGAAAATCCAATAGGTTCCAATCTATGGGAAACTCCGAAGTCAGCAGGCCATTAAAAATACATGGAGTGGAGGGGACTCCACCTCTCTTCCTCAATAATCTTTTTTTGTACACATCCCTCTTCCCCAAATACTTTACCATTTGACCCACTCTAATCACACAGACACCTAGGCTCCTGAAGAAACTGACAAAGAACAGGGGTGATGCCAGTTTTCTGCAATGGAATTTCTTACTCTTCCCCAAATCCCTTCCTCAGTGATATCACCTTACAGTTCCAGGCCTGGTTTAACTCTATTACCTGCCTGGGAAACACCCAAGTCTAAATCTGAGAAGTTTTGTCAACTATGGTCAAAAGATATGCGATGGCTGAGAATCTCTAAGCCCCACTCCATGCAGATAATGAAGTAATTCCCCACATCCAGGTAAGTGATATAGTTAGAATTCACTATAGACCACATTATTAAGTGAAGCAGACAAAATATCCCCCCGATCTAATGTCTTAATTCTTACGGAGGACAGGAGACATTAAGAAACAAGACTGCAGTCTAGACTAACTAGTAGGCCAAGAGAAAGTGTAGGGGCCGACTCTGGAGCAGCGAACAGTTATGAAAAAATCTACTTTTGTCTCCCTCCCCTATCTGGCAGTACCAAAAAACTTCAAATTACCACACCTAAACACGAAAGGCACAAAACAGTGAGTACTCCCAAGACCCAGAGCCTCCAGCCCACCCTTCAGCATGTCCAGGGGCTCCCATAATCCACTCCAGGCCCTGCTTCCATTTAACTGCCTCAGTCTTCTACATCATCGTAAGTAATGCCTTCTCCCCTGGCCTCAGTTCTCCCCCACTAAACCCAATTCCTTCTCTGCCCAACACAAGAGAACGCTCGGTTCTCTTTACAATGGTTACTTTCCCTAAAATACTGCCTCTCCCCGCGCTGAGACGCGTCCCAGGCCGCCCTCTCCGAGCAGCACCTCTGCAGCGACCCGGCCCGGGCTAACCCCTCCTCACCTCCCGGCCAGCGGGCCCCGTCCCTTTCCCAGCTCCTCCTTCTCAGGGCTGCTAATGGGCACCGAGGCCTGGCCCTGCCCTCGCACGGGATCGGGGCCTCCCGCACCCGGCCCTCGACGCGACCGCCACCGGGATCCGGCCACCTCCCCAACTTCAGGATCCCAAGCCCGCCCGATCCCTCCTCAGCGCCCCCATTAGGCCTGCCGGGCCCGGCCCACTGCTCCCCTCTCCAGTGGGCCACTCTAATCCCTCGCCTTGGCCCGGACTCGACTCCGCTCTCAAGCCAGGTCTCTTTCATCTCCCTGGCGCTTCTGCCTCTGCCCTTTTCGGTTCCATCAGCTCGGTACCTGAGGCTCCGTCTCCCCCGTCGGGCCCAAGCCTGTGTCGAACAGACAAACAGCTGCAGCTCAACCAAACCCTCCAGCCCCTCCTCCTCCGCCTCCTCCGTGTTCTGGAGCCAGGGCTCCGGCCAATAGTACGATGGCTCGCCTACTGTCGGGGGTGGGCCATATGGGACTCATCCACCAATCCTCTGGAGAAAGGCGGGCCTCTTTGGTAGCTGTCACCAACGAGTATGAGCGAGGGCCAGAACAGGCGGAGTTCTAAGCCAATAGAGAGAGAGAAGCCTTGAAGACGGACTAGGTAAGAAGCCATTCAAAAGCAAGCCTCAGGAGGCACAGGGCTGCACAGTACTGACTGACAAATGTATCAACTAATAACATCTCGACACCCCATGACCCCGCCTTTTGAACCATAAACATCTAATCGGGTGAGTGATGAAGGCGGGTCAAAGTGAAACTTTAACCAATACTGAGAAAATTTGGGACTTGAGTGGCAGGCAAGGCGAGGTGGAAAGAAGCCTTGAGGGAGCCGCTACTGACCTTCGCCCCTCCCCCTGGATTTGGCGGGGCCCGATTCCAGTGTCCCGCCTTCTATGACCAATTCGCGGGCGTGAGGGACTTCGGGCCCGAGAATCTAAATAACCCTCACGTCGATACTTCCTTCTTTTAGTGGGGCTTGAGGACTAGAGTTTTGGGGATGGCCGGTAGGCGGTCTGAGATGTACTTAGCGTAGATAATGGCACCTACGAAGAGTAGTAGCTTTTCGCAAGCGCAAGGACACGAGTTCGATCCCCGGTACCTCCCCCCCCTGCCCCCCCCAAAGCACCAGCTTAAAGATGTTTAGCCCCTTTCATTATTTTTCAGACGGGCTGATATTTTTGGAATCGTACGTAAATGTGAAAAGGATCTTTGGAAAATTGATGTTTGTGATACACAACAAAAAGGAAAAACACGAGCTTACTGCCAATTCCCCTGAAGTCCGCTTCCACCCATCTCACTGTTAGACCTTCCTAACATTGAAATTCTGGAAGCACAGCTCTAAGGTGGAGGGTGGGAAGGCAGGCGATTTGCTGGTTTCGGGTAAACTGAAGCAGAAAATACAGAGGCTGCAGCCCCCCCGCCCCGTGCTGTAAAACGGGGACAGTAACAGCCACTTTGCTCATCCTCAGCAGCGTCCCAACTGCAGCTGCATTATAGAGGCCAAAACGGGATGGGAGGGGAGCCCCGCACAGAGACTGAGGGGCCTGAAATCAATGAGCACATATTCACATTTAGTGTCTCCCGCACCATTCTTTCAGTAAATGATAAAGAGGAAAGAGAGATAAACTATACAACTAGGAATATTGTTTTTTAATGAATTACAAACTAAATTACAAATAATGTTAATAGAAAGCACTCAAGGACAAGAGGTGGGAAAAGAGACAAAAATCATAAAACGAACTAAAAAAAAAAAAAAATTGAATTACAATACCCCAAGGTGCACAACAATAAATCCAGCCACTTTGACAGAAAAAGACTATAACCTGATATATAAATATAATTGTTCATCCTTCTTTTAAAGAAATATTTTTTTCCCAATGCCCCCACTGCATTACAGCCCTGAAGAGTGTCAGCACTCTCAAAATGTGTCTAAACCTTAGCTTCCACTCCCCTAGGGTGAGGGGTAGCTTTCAAAGGAAGATAGGAGGCAACTGGCAACTGAACAATTAAAAATCCTAAAAGGAAGAGAAAAATTTGAACATCTCTCACCTGCCTCATAAGGCCACGGAGAAGCAACAGATCTGACCCAAGCGCAACCCCTGTCTCTTGGGCCTCCTTAACTCTTATTTACCCAAAGCAGGAACGAAAGGACTGTGGGCAATCATTTCTTGGGCCTCCCTTCTGAAGCTGCATCTCGAGTCTCCCAGTCATGTAGGTGAGATGAAATACAAAAACTTGGCTAAGTGATTGGATCTATTTTTAACCTAACTCTTTAAAAACAGACCCTTCCCCTTTTATTTTTTGGCTTGTTTCTCCAAAGTTCTAGTTTAACCCCCTGTTGTAAGTTGGCCTTTACAAAAAACAGTGGCAGCAGAAGACTTGGGGTCTCTCTCATCTAAAATACAGGAAATAATTATAGGGCATTCGGAGATTGGGATGAGAAGTGGGATTGGAGGGGTCAGTTTTGTTTTGAATCCCACCGCTCCTCAGCAAAGAGGCGGGGGGAGAGGGTAGTAAAGCTGAGTTAAGTGCATGTAATACTGAAATTTCCTCTCATTTTCACCTGTTCTTCCTCTCCATCCCTGGATCCCCAGAGCTGGCTGGACAAAAAGGGAAGGCAAGTGTTAAGGCACCCAGAAATTATCAGAGAGCCTGCCTGAGTCCAAATCACTCAGAGCCAAGCCAGGTCAAACCCACAGTGGAGGCGAAGGCTTGGCAAGGACATCAGAGTCGAAGGTGGGGTACTGTCTTGGTCACATCCTGGAAGAATGGGTGAGCCAGAGCTGCTTTTGCCGAAATTCGCTTATTGGGGTCGTAGTGCAGCATTTGCTGGAGGAAGAGATGTATGATATCTTCAGCGACACAAGGGTGGACTAAATGGACAGCAGGTGTTCTCAGAAATCAGGAAAACAGAACTCCTTTTAACCCAGTTCTCATTTCCCTCCTCCCACATCTGAACCAGAGTGCTAACAGGGAGAGAAGTACGGACTAGAGAAAGGTGGCTGGGACCCAGAATTTAAGGTCTCAGCTTTGCTTCATCCTGGAAAAGCCCTTCCCTGGGGCAATGAATGAGCGTTAACAGGTGCCCACTCCCCACCCTTACCGATAACAAGCTCCGTCCATCTTCATCCAGGGGAGGCACAACTTTGCTAAAATCTTGCCGGACCCACTTGGGGAAGCTTGGCTTATAATCAGGCATAGAAGTAACTCCTGGCCAAACTACCTCATCTGGGGTCCCTAGAGTTCGAAAGATCCGGAAGAGTTGGTCAATCTCAGAATCTCCAGGGAATAGGGCACGGCGGGTCACCTGAAAATGGGGAAAGAGGAAAAGGCAAGACCCACACTGACGTAAATCAAAAATGTTCCCTACACAAAGGAGGTTCCCACAGGCAGTGGAAGATCAGCAGGGCCCCATGACTCCCCTCCCTGGGCCTTTCATGGGGTCGGTCACACAGAGCCTGAGACAATGAAGTCCCTTATCTCTCTCGTTATCCCCGCCTTCCTTCCCCCATGAAGGCTTTGCAGATCCCCAAGGCTGGGTGGGGCTGGGAGGGGGTGAATGTTTGGGGGTGCCACTGATCCCAAGCCACTCACGGGATGTGGGGTAGACACTGGGGTCATCCCCCCTCCTTGTGATGCAGCCACTTCTAGATAGGAGCACAGCGGGCAGAGACTGTGTCTTCCATTTCTTCTGTGTTCCCCACAGCACTTAGCATGGTGCTGGGTACACACTAGGTACTTAACAAATATTTGTTGATGAATTGAGAGAGGAATATGGGCAATTGGAAGGTAGTGTACTGGGGATAAATTCACATAATATATATATATTATATATATATATACACACACACACATTTATTAATGGTCTCTAAGCCCTCGGTTACAACCCAGATAAAGGACCGTTAAACATATTGATGATTTGATGTGATGCCTTAGCCTGCTCCATTGTTGTATTAAAGGGGATGGGAGCTGTTACACAAGGCCAGGCCTCAAGGATCCTTCAATCTGAAAAGCCAGAGGTTGAGAGGGGACATCTAAGCCTATAGTTTAAAAAAAAGGGTGTGGAGGGCTGGGGATTTAGGCTCAGCGGTTCTGCCACCTGCCTCGCAAGCAAGCCCAAGGTCCTGAGTTCGGTCCCCATGACCAAACAAACAAACAAATAAATGGTGTGGATAAGTGAACCCAGTTGGCTTCACTACATCCCTGGCATCCTACAAGGTCTCCAGGTCAAATGAAGGAGGCACTAAATGGAACTCAGTCTTCCAAATACGTGCACACTAAAACTAAAATAGCTGAATAATTATAGGAATGATTTAGTTCATTTCAGGGATAAGAGATGTATACTAGAGACAGTCTATGGTATTTGAAGGCATTCTAACATTATGGTTGATGTTCAGGGGTAACTATCCTATCACCACCATCCCCTCCTGGTGCCACTTTAGAGAACCCTGAGGAAAAAGATGGGCTGTGGTTCTGGGCCAAGAAAGAATTCTGTTGTTCTTGGATGTGGGGAGAAGAGGGCTTGGGCGAGCCTCCATACCATTTCAGCAAAGATACAGCCCAGGCTCCAGATGTCCACAGCTGTGGAGTAGTATTTGCAGCCCAAAAGGATTTCAGGGGCTCGGTACCACAGGGTCACCACCTATGCAACAAGAATAGAAAGTAGAGAGGTAGTTTAAAGGACATGGACATTGCTACGTCTCAGCTCCTCAAAAAAAACTCTCTCAGCCTCTTGAGCAGTTTCTTTTTCTCCCTCCTATTTCCCCTAAGAAAATTTCCCCAACTTGTTGGCCCAGAATTAACCTAGTTCATGGCTCTAGGGACTATATTTTCTGAACCCCCAATTTGAGATCTTTCTGGGAAATGTAAGATAAATGGTCATAATTTTCTTTTTTTTTCTGAGATAGGGTCTCACTAAGTTGTCCAGGCTGGCTTTGAACTTGCCATTCTCCTACTTCAGCCTCTGAGTGCTGATATTATAGACCTGTACCATGCTCCATAAAATGGTCATAATTTTTTATTTGTTTTTTGAGACAGGGTCTCACTTTGTACTTAACATTGGCCCTGAATTCACTATGTAGCCCAGGCTGGCCTCAAACTTGAGGCAGTCCTTCTGCCTCAGTCTCCAGAGTAGAGTACTGGGATTACAGGCATGCACCACCGCACCCGGTACAAATGGTCATAATTTTAATAGTGTGCCATTCAGCTGTCCTGGCTTGGTATCTAAACCCAGGTAGTCTAACAGCATGAATTTTGTGTAAACCCTAAAACCCTTAGGATATCAGAAATTCTTTCTATCTGCCAAGAAAACAATTGTTGGTCAGATGGTTTTAGCAACTTTGTGAGTGCTCTTGTTAACACTTCCCAGGATGCTCAGAAAGGAACAGCACAAAGGGACATACCTCATGGGTATAAGTGCGCACAGGGACCCCGAAGGCTCTGGCTAGCCCAAAGTCTGCTAGCTTGATGGCCCCATCTGCGTTGATAAGCAGATTCTGAGGTTTAAGGTCTCGGTGCAGGACTCGATGAGAATGGCAAAAAGCGAGGCCTTGGAGCAGCTGAAACAGATAGTTCTGACAAAGGAGAGAGGGAGATTGTGTTTCTCCATCACGATGAGCAGATTACGGTTTGCTCTTTGCCCCCTAAACACTAAACTCTTCACCATGTTAGATTATAACTACATGTTTAAAAGCTATTTTTCCCATTGGACTTTCAGCCCAGTGAGGTTAAGGACCAGGTCTGATTCAGTTTTCCATATCCTGTGCTTAGCACACTAAATGTATGTTGAAGGAATATTTATGGCAAGATTGAAAGTAGCCCCAGGAGTGAAGAACCCATACTAACAGACAGCAGAGGCTCACTGGCTATTTTCCCCACTGAACAGACAGAAGGGCCTTTTGGAAGAATCTACCAACTGCCCTCAAATCCCATTTATCTGAGTTTCATCTGACCTCCCACCAGAGGCAGCTAGGTTGACTCACTAGAGTTTTAACTTTGATTCTGCAGCCCAACCCTAGGGCTAATGAGTATAATGAGTAGGGAAAGAGATGCAAAAGAAAGGGTGGGTGCTGACTGGGAAGGAGGCCAAAATAACAAAATTATCATCCAGTCTGAATTGTCTTTCTCCAGCCCCCCAGAACCAGCCCCCCAGAAGGTGCGCATGGTGAGGTGGAGTTGATAGAAGGGTCACCTTGATGAGAGGAAGAGGAACGCCAGTGAGAGCAGAGGCGTCCATAAACTTCTTGAGATCTTGGTGCAGAAATTCAAAAACTAGGTAGAGTTTATTTTCCGTGTGGATGACATCCAGCAGCCTACAGAAGAGGAGGTCCAGGATATGTAGATAAGGGAGAGAAATGCCTAGACTCGACAGATGAAACCCATCTTATTAGAATGCCTCCCAAGACACTACTTACTTGACAATATTGGGGTGGTTAAGCTCCTTAAGCAGCGAGATCTCTCGAATGGCAGTGCTGGGGACACCCTCAGTCTCACTTGGAGAGATTGGGAAATCAGAGATGGGAATATGGTTACAAATAGCTCTTTTGATATTGATTGGTCCACAACCCCCCACCCCATATCCTTTTGCAAAGTCCGAGAGGAGGAAGAGCGCTGTAAGGAGTTAATTGCTGGGCAGCTAGGACCTGGCTTCTGGATACCTTAAAGTCAACATTTCCTCTTTCCCTGAGGTAGGTAAGTAAAGACTCCCGGTGAAGGTGAAGCAGAGAGAAGAGAATGGAGAAAAAAATTGAGAGTAGCACCTGGACAGCCCAGAGGGCCAGAGAGGTTCAACTGCCACTTGAAAGTGGGAGAGAATTCTGGGAGGGTGGAGCTGGGTCTCCGCTCAGTTTTCCAGTGGTCCCCGCACACCCCCATTCCACAGAAAGTCCTATATCCCATCCCAGAGACCTCCTTTCTTTTCCAGAGTCTCACTGTTTGCACATTTGGGGGCACCACCGGGTTCAGTATGGAAAGGAAGTTTTCCATGGCTGCCAACACCACCCGTACGCCCTCCAGGAAAACCCTTTACGCCGCCCCCCTTTCAAAGAAGTCCCTCCCTGCCACTTTCCGGTCCCTGGACGGCTACCCGCCCGTTGGGGGTGGGGGAACAATCTAGGGGCTCTCTAGTTAAGAGTCCCGGCTGCAGAAGCCACTCACGTGTCCAGGCGGATTTTCTTAAGCGCTACCACTTCTCCCGTCAACTTGTTTTTGGCTTTGTACACTACTCCGTACGTGCCCTCTCCGATCTTCTCCACCTTTTGGAAGTTCTCCATGAAGCGCTAGTGAGTCGGGTCAGCCCGGCCCTGGAGCGGGGGCCTGGGAACACTGCAGAAAGCGAGCCGAGGGGCCAACGGAGCCCAGCACGGTGGCCCTGGGTCAAGATGGAACGCAGTGTATGTCTGGCTCTTGTCAATTTGTCCAACTTAAAACAATGTTCCCGCCTCCCCCCTCCAGTTCCCGACCGCCACCAGACGTCCCACCCCTCCTTCCCGCGTTTCCCCGACTCCGCCCTCGGCCCTTCTGATTGGTCAACGTTACAGAGGGCGGGGCGACCCTGCGCTTCTCGCGGCGAATAATCTTGCCGGGTGCAAGTTTGTCTCTGAGAGGCGAGACAAATTTCTTCCACCCTGGGGCGGCTGAGGACCTTTTCCCAAGTTCCCGATGTGGGTTCGAGTTTCCAACCTGTGTCTCTGTAGAGATTTCCTGATCTCAAACTCCGTTTTCACAAACCCTTAGGAAAATGTGTATAGACCTGAGGTTAATTTCCACCTGGCCAGGAAGCCTCTTTTGAAAAACAAAACTTGGAATCTCATCCCTAAGAGTTTCTTGGACCTTAGAAAGAGGAGAGTGCCTCAGACTCTTAGCCTATAGGAATAGTGTCCCTCTCTGCTTTTGGATATACAAAGGTTCTGTTTCTGCCTTTTAAAGAGATTCCTGGTTTGATTCAACTGATTGATGCACTCGCCCACGACGAATTCCTTGTGCTGGTTAGGTGTCATGTAGCTGCCTGTAGGATAACTCTTTCCCTAGCGGTGGAGTGTGTCAAGTTGAATGTAACCCAGTGAAGCCAGAAACTGGCCTTGCTTAGTGGATAGAGAAGGAGTTTCCAGTGCCTTAGATCACTTGTCAGTTCTTTCTCGGGTCCTTTCGCCCCTCCCAGGGCTCCCCTAGAAGGAGAAGGGGAAGGACTATGCAAATGAGTACCCCTTTCTTATATAGGGGCTTATTCCAGACCCCCAGCATCTTTGGTTGCTGAAAGAAAGAACAGGATGGATCTGCTGCCAACAAGTTGCCTTCTCCACTTGTCTGTGCTGAATGCTTTGTTGGTTTTGGGGGTCACAGAAGGTGAGTGTGTGTGTGTGTGTGTGTGTGTGTGTGTGTGTGGTCGGAATCTGTGAATCAGGGATTGAACACAGCTCTGGTTTCCCGCCTCATAAAGGGATAAATCAGTACTTCAGATTTCTTCCCCCTATTTGATTTGGGTAGTATATGGGCACTTGACCTACACGGAAATTTGGGATTGAGCGTGAAAATGATCCTGGTCTGCTTACTTGGCCAGAAGGATAGTGGGTCTTTGTGGCACTAATCTGAGGTCCTCAGAGCAGTGAGCTGGAGCAGAAGCTCTGAAAGGGTGAAATGAGTGGGAGATTCTCTTTTATAATGTCTCAGGTATATGAAGTAGGGGATTCAAAGTGGGAGCAAGAGAAGCTGGTGTTAGATAAGGAGGCACCACCTTCCCCCTTGGAATGGGTATGGGTGAACACTGCCCAGACATACTGTTCTGGTACTGGGAGAGATAGGCAGGGGGTCTCAGCTGAGCATCACATGAAAAGGCTCTGGGGGATTGGGGCCTCGTGATAGGAGTGGGCGGAGGTAGTGGTGGCCAGAGGGTCTGGAATGTCCCGTGCTGCTCTTAAGAGGGAGGGTTGGAAGAGGAAAAAAAAATGGAGCATCTTATGACTTCTCTTGCTCTAGTGCTGAGATGCTCAATGAGAAAATTCTAGATAATCCCCTAGCAGAATCTCCTAAATTTCCAGAATGCATTAGAAATGAGGTGAGGAGCCAGGCATGGTGGCACATGCCTATAATCCCAGCACTTAGGAGATTGGGGCAGGAGGATCATGAGTTTGAGACCAGCCTGGGCTACATGTTGTAAGAAAGAAAATAAATGGGGTGGAGGATCGTTTTTGCTGTGCTGAAATATCGACGTCATATGCCAGCCTCATTCCCTTCTCTAGATCGCTGTTCCCATAGGCCTCTAGGAAGTTCTTGATCTGACGTCATTCATGCTGCAGATTCAAGACTTTTTTTATGTTCCTTAATATTTTCTGCAAACATTCTGTTTACACCCGTCGCCTGAGGCTCTTAAAAGACTGCTCTTTTTTTTTTTTTTTTTTTTTTTTTTTTTTTTTTTATTTTTTTTTTTGTACTGGAGGTTGAATCCAGGGCTTGGCACTGAGCTACATCCCCAGTCCTGTTCTTTCATTTTGGATCCCAAATTTTAAAACTGTAAGAATAGACTGAGGGTTGACTCCGTGGTAGAGTGCATGTTTAGCATATCCATAGGCCCTGGGTTTAGTTTTTAGCATCAAAAAATGGAAGAAAGAAAAAAGACATTTTTTTCTTAGTGCTAATGAAACTTTCTCTGAAGTAGGTTTGTTTGATAGTTATTTTAGTATGAAATGACATTATGTTTATGCAAGAAAATATTTATATTTTTAACAAATACATAAACTGAGAGTTAACAAGAGCTGATACTTGCTTTTAAATATATTTGCCAAAAGCATAAACAACCAGTAAAGATAAAGCAAATATGACCGAATGCTGAGAGTTTATTGAAACTGGATAAAGGCATGCGGAGATCCAGCATACCCTTTTTTCTTTCTGACTTCTCTCATACTCAGCTACTACATTTATAATTTTTTTTTTTTGAGATAAAAGTCTCACTATGTAATTCAGGTTGGCCATGACCTCAGTATGTAGTCCAGGCTGGCCTTGAACTCACTATTATAGCCTAGGATGGGCTTGAACTCATGGCACTCTTCCTGTCTCAGCCTACCAAGTGCTGGGATTACAGATGTGAGGCACCACACCTAGCTCCAGGCTAGCCTAGAGCTTTTGATCATCTGGCCTCAGACTCCCAGTTACAGATATGTGCCAACACACCGAGCTCAGTTATAAGAATTTTATCTGCTCTGTCCCTACTCCCAAACTGCCTGCTTCTAATCCGTCCTCCCCACTGCTTGCCATAATGACATCTCTAAAATACGAATATGATCATGTTCAAAAAGCTTCTGAAGGTGAATTTTGTGGTATTATATTATATCTCAATTTAAAACAAAAGATCTGAGGCTGGGCATGGTGGCGCATGCCTGTAATCCTAGCACCCTGGAGGCTGAGGCAGGAGTATCTCTGTGAGCTCAAGACCAGCCTGTGCTACATAGTGAGTTCCAGGTCAGTCTCAACTACCTAGTGAGACCCTGTCTCAAAAAACAAAAACAAAACAAAACAAAAGGTCTGTAGTCGCATGCCTATAATCCTAGCACTTGGGAGGCTGAGGTAGGAGGATTTTGAGTTCAAGGCCAGCCTGGTCTACATAATGAGTTCAAGGCTAGTGCAGACAACACAGTGAGACTATGTCTCAAGAATGAATAAATATACTAAAAAACCCTTCAACTCATCTTCTCAGCCTCATTTTTCACAGTGTGCACTGAGCACAATGCTAGGCTCCCCTAACATACCATGTACTTCTGTGCCTCCATGCATCTCCTCGTACTAGTTAGATTGGCACTTTAGGACTATGACAACTCTTCACTGAAGTTTCCCATAGTCTGCTACAGCTGTCACTTTTCCCTGACTTTTGTTTTTGTTTTTGTTTTTTGGTACTGGGGATTGAACTCGGGACCTTGCACTTGTAAGGAAGGCACCAGAACCACTGAGCTAAATCCCCAGCCCTTCCCTGACATTTTGTTACATTTTGTGTATGTCCATTGTGGCACCTATTAAGCAATGCTTTGAATTATAGTAATTTGTGTACATGCTCATTTTTTTTGTTTATACCAAGGATTGAATCCAGAGCCTAAGCTACATCCCCAGCCCTATTTATTCTCACTAAATTGGCCATCCTGGGCTAGAGCTTTTGATCCTCCTGCCTCAGCCTCCCAGCGTGCTGGGATTACAGATGTGTGCCACCATGCCCAGCTACATGCTCAGTTTTCATACTTCACTTTGAATCCCTTCAGAGCTGTAGCTTATACATTCCTTAAGCTCTTTGTGCCTAGAATAGTGCCTAGTATATGGTGGACGTTCAGAAAATTAGAATGCATTTCTATTTGAATGGGAGACTGAGAGGGGTGACATAGAATAGAGTGTTATTCCCTTAAAAGGGACTAGTTGAGCACCCCAGGACCCTTATCGCACATTTCTTTAGGGCCCAGAGACCAGGACCGGTTTGGTGTTTCAAGGCAGCTCCTCACTAAAGCGTGGAACAAGCAGCTGTATCCAGAATGGACAGGAGTCCAGGGACCTGACTGCTGGAGAGGTAGGAACCCAGACATTCTGGGAGAGGGCATGGTGGGGATGGGATGGGGAGGAGAGCAGGAACTGGGCTGAAGACTGGCCACTTGGAAAGACAGGAAGGGAAAGATATATGGAGAGGGGAAGCCAAGGGATCCCAGCTCATACAGTTTTGCATTCCAGGTGGCCAGGTGGCCCTGAAGGTCAGTAACGATGGGCCTACACTACTTGGTGCAAATGCCTCCTTCTCCATTGTCCTGCAATTCCCCGAAAGCCAACAGGTGCTGCTGGATGGGCAGGTTGTCTGGGCCAACAACACCGTCATCAATGGTAAGTACCCCTCTGCTCTTCCTAGGGCCCAGTGAGCCCAGGAAATGCTGCCTACCCGCTCTGTTTTTCTTTTAAAATTTTGAACAAATTATGTATGTAGTACCTACTCACTGTTGTAAAGTTAGAAAACACAGTTAAGCAAAAATTATAGTCCCCAAACTGGGAAACAGCTGAATCTAGAAGCTGGACAGACCTAGATTTAAATTTGCCACAAGTATGTGACCTCAGGCTTGTGCTTTATTGCATTCTGTAAAATGGGGATGATACCTTCCTTAGAGGGCTGTTGTAAGGATGAAAATATGATAATATGTAAAGTATTTAACATAGGGCTGTTTTGTTAGCTGGCACTGTTATTTATTTATTTATTTAGTACCGGAGATCAAACTCAGGACCTTGCACTTGCCAGGCAGGCGCTATGCCACTGAGTTATAGTACCAGCCCAGGCACTGTTATTTTTTTTATCTCACTGGTTAGGGAAAATCACTGTAAACATTTTAATATATGACCTTCCTTATGTAAATATACACATGTGAATCTTATATTGTAGTTTCCATATATCTCCACCTCCAACTACTACCCTAAGTGTGTTCCTCCCTTGGAACTTGTACTTTCTAGCTAGGGAATATTTCCACAGCCCCTTTCTAATTCCTTAGGAACTATTTTAGAAATTTTGATATATACAAAAGAATGCCAGGAGCTAGGCATGGTGGCATATTCCTTTAATTCCAGCTATCCAGAGGGCTTAGGTGGAGGACTGTAAATTCCTGGCCAGCCTGGGTAGCTTAGTAAGAAGACTCTGTCTAAAAAAGAAAAGAAGTTGGCTATGGTAGTGGTAGTGTATGCCTGTAATACCAGCACTCTGAGAAGCTGAGGCAGGAGGATTGCAAATTTGAGCCCAGCCTGGGCAATTTAGCAATTTAGTGAGATCCTGTCTCAAAAAAAAAAAGGGCTGGCAAGGTGGGCATTTAGCTTGGTGGTGCTGTGTCTGCCACACAAGTACAAGATTCTGAGTTCAGTCCCTGGTGCCAAAAAACCAAAAGCCAAGAAACAAAACAAAAAAGGGTTGGGCGCTTGGGATTTAGCTCAGTAGTTTTGCTGCCTGCCTTGAAAGCGCAGGGTCCCAAGTTTGATCCCTGGTACCAAAAAAAAAAAAAAAAAGTGTTGGGACATAGCTCAATATAAAGGCCCTAAATTCCATCCACAATCCACACACACACACACACACACACACACACAGAACAAAGAGTGCTGGACGTGGTGACACACACTTGTAATCCCAGCACTTGGGAAGTTGAGGCAGGAGAATTGCTGAGTTTGAGGCAGGCAGGCCTGGGCTACATAATGAGACACTGCCTCAAAAAAAAAAAAAAAAAAAAAAGAAAAGAAAAAGAAAAAAAGAAAGAAAGAAAAGAACAAGACAAGGGACAAGGGCTGGGGATTTGGCTCAGTAGTTCTTCTGCCTGCCTTGCAAGCAGAAGGACTCAAGTGCAATGATCCAAGTGCAACGGCTGGAGTTTGATCCCCGGTACAAAAAAAGAAAAAAAAAAAAAAGAAAAGAAAAAAGACTGTCAGGGTTTGAGGGTGACTGTACCTTTCTTTCAGGGAGCCAGATGTGGGGAGGACAACCAGTATATCCCCAGGAACCTGATGATGCTTGTATCTTCCCTGATGGCGGGCCCTGCACATCTGACCCTTGGTCTCAAAGAAGACGCTTTGTTTATGTCTGGAAGACCTGGGGTGAGGGACTCCCTTCTCTGGCTATCGTCTACATACTTGTATTTACTGTTTCCCATCTGGTCATCTTTTTTACAGTCTCATCACTTATGTAATTTCCCTAATCTTTATTTTCCCCTGCCCCCTTCTTTCATAGCACCTAATCCCCTTCAATTCTATTATAATTAGGGGGGCTGGGGATGTAGCTCAGTGATGCTGTGCCTGCCTGGCAAGCACAAAGTCCTTAGTTCAATCTCTGGTACCAAAAGAAATTAAAATTAAATTTAAAATATATACATAATTTTGGGGGGACAGTGCTGGGGTGTTGGGGATAAAATGGAGGCTCTCATACATGCTAATAATAATAATAATAATAATAATGATAGCCCTAGCAAATTCTATCACAAGTCTTTCTAGAAGTTCTTCCCCAAATATAGTCCTACTCCATGGGACCCTCCAGCCCCCTTTCCATATCATAGCCACTCAAACATCCTTTGAAGTAATTATCTTTAATTATGTCCTGATGTCCCTTCTTTGGTATTCTCAAATCCTGCCCCTCAGCCCCTTTTGACCAGTAGATACCCCTTCTCTGTTTCTCTTTCCAATAATCTCAGGCCAATACTGGCAAGTTCTGGGGGGCCCAGTGTCGAGGCTGAGCATTGGGACAGGACAGGCGATGCTGGGCACACATTCCATGGAAGTGACTGTCTACCACCGCCGGGGAGGGCGGAGCTATGTACCCCTTGCTCACTCCAGCTCAGCCTTCACTATTACCGGTAAGGATTTAGGAAGGGGCAAGGCGAGTCACAGGGCAGGAGAGAGTGGGAGGCTTGGCTGGAATGGAAGGAAGAAAGGGGAATGGTGTGAAGCCTTCAAGGGGTAGGACCAGAAGACCTGGACAGGGGAACGTAGGACTAGAGCCAGTGCAGGCCCAGGCACTCAGCTTGGGTGGTTGGAGGGTGTGGTTGTTAAAGGGAGAGCTGTAGGCCTGGGTCTCACTTTGTCACTCACCCCAGACCAGGTGCCTTTCTCTGTGAACGTGTCCCAGCTGCAGGCCTTGGATGAAGGGAACAAGCATTTCCTGAGAAATCAACCTCTGATGTTTGCTCTTCAGCTCCATGACCCCAGTGGCTATTTGGCTGGGGCTGACCTCTCCTACACATGGGACTTTGGAGATGGTTCTGGCACACTGATATCTCGGGCAGTTGTTGTCCCTCACACTTACCTGGAGTCTGGCCGAGTTACGGCACAGGTGGTGCTGCAGGCTGCAATTCCTCTTACCACCTGTGGCTCCTCCCCATTTCCAGGCACCACAGATGGGTACATGCCAACTACAGAGGCCTCCGGCACTACAGCTAGGCAAGGGCCTACTGCAGGAGTTGTGGGTACTACTCCTGATCAGGTACCAACTACAGAGCCTTCTAGAACCACAGCTCTGCAGGTGCCAACCACAGGGGTCATAAATACTGCCTCTGTGCAGGTGCCAACTGCAGAGGGCACAGGTACTACACCTGAGCAAGCACCAACCTCAGAGGTCATAGGCACCACAGTGGCAGAGATGACCACCACAGAGGTCGTTGGCACAACACTGACAGAAGTGTCAAGTAAAGAGCCCTCTTCAACCACGCTTGCACAGACAACAGTTACAGAGTTGGTAGAGACCACAGCTGGAGAGTTACCCACCTTTGAGCCTGAGGATCCAGGTGCCAGCCTATTCATGCCCACAGAAGGCATTTCAGGTAAGAAGGGCGGTGTGAATGACAGTTATGGAGGCAAGGTATTTGTTACTCCTGTACTTGGAAAATCTTACCCAGGACCAAGATATTACCCAGACTTTGCTTAGCACTGTGATTTCCTTAAGAGCTCTCGCTGGCTCTAAAGTGTCCACCTGCTTTACTGTCTGTCTGCTCTCTCTCCCTCTCTCTCTCTCTCTCTCTCTCATCTATCTCTTTTAAGACAGGGTCTCCCTATGTATCCCTGGCTGGCCTTAAACTTGCAACTTCCTGCCTTGGCCTTTTGAGTTCTGAGATTTGCCATCACCTTCAAGTTTCTCTTAATGACATGCAAGAGATTTGGAGTTTGGGAACCTGAACTCTTCTAGGTCATAAGGAGAGTTTGTTGTTTCTCTGAAAAGAGCTAGGAGGCACAGGGAACACACTGTAATTATTTACATATTTATATCACATTTTCTTTTCAAGCATAAATACACAAAAATCTTTCTGTCTGGCACATCAGTCCTTCCATTTCTGATTATTAAATTCCTGTCCCAAAGAGAAACAGGAGGAATGAGATAATGATGCTTAAATGAGTTAAAATATGTTGAATGTCTAGCCCAGGACTTGGCAAAGTGTGGGGGGATGATAAACATTTGGGGATTTTTAAAAATGATGCATACCTATAATTGCAGCACTCTGGAAGGTTGAGGCAGAAGGATCACAAAGTTTGAGCCCAGACTGGAAAAGTTACTGAGACTGTATCTAAAAATGAAAAATTTTAAAAGGGCTGGGGATATACCTCTGTACAAAGGTCCTGGCTTCATTCCACAGTACCACAAAAAAGTGCCCCCTCCAAAAAAGAACAACAGCAACCACAACAAAAAAAACCTTTGCCCCCAAACTATGTGACTCTAAAGCAGTGATTTTCTCCTTCTGGTCTCTGTTTCCTTATCTATAAAGCAAAAATTTTCCAGATCCTGCCTGATTCTAACCAGTTAACTCCAGTATCTGGTAGCTCTGGCTCAGTGTGGGAAAGTGCCTTCTTGACCTCTTCTTCCAAGTCAGTTATCTGTCACTTGACCTGTCTTCAATCCTCTCTTGCCAGTGTCCCCGAGCCTCCTGCTGAATGGTGCAGACACCTTAACACTGGTGAAGAGACAAGTCCAAGTCCCGCTGGACTGTGTTTTGTATCGATATGGTTCCTTTTCCCTTACCCTGGACATTATCCGTGAGTCTTGCCTACTTTGGGGGCCGATGAAGGGAGACAGGTGCTGGACAAAAGGAATGCCCAAATGACAGGAGCCTCCTCTGAAGGCACAGGACTGGGACTGGGGCTGTAGCTCTAGGGCTTTCCTGTCTATCAGCCTGATGGAGGAAGCCTGACTTACAGTCTTGCGATTCCACAGAGGGTGTTGAGAGTGCAGAGATCTTGCAGGCTGTGCCATCCAGCGAGGGTGATGCATTTGAGCTGACCGTGGCCTGCCAAGGCAGGTGAGTATCCCGCTGGTTGCCCTGATAACCTTTGGGTGACCACGTCTCTTCCTGAATCCCCTAAGACAAGCTCGTACCTTTTCAGGCTGCCTGAGGAAGCTTGTGTGGACATTTCATCGCCTGGGTGCCTGCCTCCTACCCAGCGCCTGTGCCAGCCTGTGCCACCAAGCCCAGCCTGCCAGCTGGTTCTGCACCAAGTATTGAAGAGTGGCTCAGGGACCTACTGCCTCAATGTGTCTTTGGCTGATGCCAACAGCTTGGCAGTGGCCAGCACCCAGCTTATCATGCCTGGTAAGTCACTGAATAAGAGGTAGAATGAAGAGCTAGCAGAGAGGGAGCAGATGGTAAAGCATTGTCTGGGCTCCTGCTCACAGGTCAAGAAGCAGGCCTTGGGCAGGCTCCCCTGCTTGTGGGCATCTTGCTGGTATTGGTGGCCGTGGTGCTTGCATCTCTGATATACAGGTGAGAGCCTCACTGTCCAGCCCAGACTCCCAATCCTTTTACTACTACACAGCCTACTCAGGAAGGAGAAAACCACTCCTGAGGAAGCAGAATGCAAAGGGCTGGGGATTTAGCTCAGCGGTACCACCGCCTGCCTCACAAGTGCAAGGACCTGAGTTTGATCCCTGGTACCAAAAAAAAAAAAAAAAAAAAAAAAA